TCCATGCCCCCTTTTCTTTTTTTTTCTTTTTTTCTTCGCTCGCCCTTGCTGCAAGGAACACGAATCCCGGGAATAGTCCCATTCCAAATTAGGGAAAAAAAGATATAGAATCTTATATTAATTCTATTTAGATCTAATCGCGCGTATCATCCACGGTTTCTATGCCCTGCGCCTCCTGACTAGGGTTACCCCATTTATGCAACTCACGGATTCCCGCCACACCACCCGGTGGGGAGAATTTCACCCCCCAATATTACCCTGGCCCGCAGATTTTGTTAAGATAATCCCTGGAAAAAATAATCTTACGGCGTTTTAGGATGTTTACGTGGCTTTATATCAAAACACTCCCCTCGGAGAATTTTTCCGAGAGGATTTATCTAGGTCACCTGTACACCACACTCTAGTGTGGTACCCTTGTGGCTTTATACAAACAATTCCTTGGATTTGTTTTTTTTTCGCGCCAGCCGCGGGCATAGGACTATTTACCGTTGGCTTATACAAAAATCTCTGTGAGAAAAAAGTTTTTGCGGGGTATTTAGGGGCCTAGTCTTTCGTGACTTATAATACAACACTCCCTGGGAAAAAAAAAAATTCTTACGGCATTTTAGTTTTACGTACGTTGACTTTATACAAACACTTTCTGGAGAAAAAAGTCTATCGACATTTTAGGGCTATTTACGTTGGTTTTATACAAACACGCCCTCGAGAAAAAAATGTTTCGGTATTAAGTGTAAGGTGTGGCTTTATACAAACACTCAGAGGAAAGAAAATCTTACGGCATTTTAGGGCTATTTACGATGGTTTTATACAAACACTCCCTGTAGAAAAAAATCTTTCGGTATTAGGACTATTTACGTTGGCTTTATATAAACACTCCCTCGAGAAAAAAATCTTTCGGTATTAGGGCTAGCTTCGTTGACTTTATACAAACACTCCCTGGAAAAAAAAATCTATACGGCCATTTTAGGACTGCTTACGTTTGGCTTTTATGCAAACACTGGAGAAAAAAATCTTTCAGTATTAGGTGCTATTTACTTGTTTGACTTTATACAAACACTCCCTGGAAAAAATTCTTACGGCATTAGGCTATTTTACGTTGGCTTTATACAAACATCCTTGGAAAAAAACTTACGGTATTAGGGCTATTTACGATGGTTTATACAAAACACTCCCTGTTAAAAAAAAATCTTTCGGTATTAGGGCTATTTACGTTGGCTTTATAACAACACTCTCCCTCGGAAAAAAAAATCTTCGGTATAAGTGTAAGGTGTTGGCTTACATACAACACTCCCGTGGAAAGAAAATTCTTACGGCATCTTTAGGGCTATTTACGATGGTTTTTTATAAACCAAAATCCCCTCGAGAAAAAAAATCTTTCGGTATTAGGTGTGGGGTGTGGCTTTATATAAACACTCCCTGGACAAAAAAAATCTTTTGGTATTAGGGCCATTTACGTTGGCTTTATACAAACACTCCCTGGAGAAAAAAATCTTTCGGTACTAGGGCTAGCTTCGTTGACTTTATACAAACACTCCTTGGAAAAAAATCTTACGGCATTTTAGGACTGCTTACGTTGGCTTTATGCAAACACGAGAAAAAAAAATCTTTCGGTATTAGGACTATTTACGATGGTTTTATACAAACACTCCCTGTAGAAAAAAATCTTACGGTATTAAGACTATTTACATTGGCTTTATGTGTTTTGCCATAAAGAACCGCTCGAATGGACGAAGGAAAATAAAGTATAAGCTAAATAAAAAAAAAAACGATCACCATCTTTAGAAAACGAAATAATTTCTCAAAAAAAAAAAAGAAAGAAAAAAATGACAAACGTGACCCTAAACAGAAAACCAAACACGAACTGGGTCGGATTGGTCGCTGTCATGTCAGTCCACGCTCGCCAGACAGCGCTTTCATTGCCCTTTTTTCCGCTTTTTTTCAGAATGGATAACATGTCATTCGGGACCGACGGCAGCGACCCCCTCGGAGTGAACGGCTCGGCGCTCCCGTCGGCCGAGGGCAAGCGGAAGGCGCCGCCCGACCCCGACAAGGTACGAACAGCAAGGGTTTATATCTATCTACAAACACACACACACACACACACACACACACACACAACACACACACCACACACACACACACATATAATATATATAATATATATATATATATATATATATTATATATGTAATATATTATATTATTATATATATTATATATATTTATATATGTACAACACACATACATATATACATATACATAACATACACAACACACCACACACACACACACACCACACACACACACACACACACACACACAACACACAAACACACACACACACACACACACACACACACACACAACACACACACACACACACACATATATATATATATATTATATATATATACATATATAAATCTATATATATATATATTATATATATATATATATATATATATATATATATATATATATATATGTATTTGTGTATGTCTGTGCATGTGTGTGTGTGTGTGTGTTAGCTCTTACTTGACATGGTGTAATTTCGTCTGCGATGTGGAGAATTAGGTCCGTCAGGTTACGTCACTCGGTGAGTTGCCAAGTTGGAAAAAAAATATTCGCAGTTTCGCTTTTTCAATAATATGCGATTCTTTTTTCCTTTTTTGATTTGCATATCTCAAGGTTCTTTTTTTTTTTTTTTACTTTTCTGCCACGTTCTTTAGAGAGACTAATTCTTCGCGAATTTTTAGAAAGGGGTAAACCTTTTTTTTCTGAATTTATCCTATGATGTATCAAGGGAATGCGGTCTCTCTCTCAATATATATATATATATATATATATATATATATATATATATATATAATATATATATATATATATAAACGCATATATATATATATATATATATATATATATATATATATATATATATATATATATATATATATACTATATATATATAACGCATATAATATATATATATATATATATATATATTATATATATATATATATATATATATATATATATATATCTATATATATTTTATATATATATATATATAGATATATATAATATATATATATATATATATATATATATATATATATATATATATATATATATATATATATATATATATATATATATATATATATATATATTATATAATATATACCGAGAATCGATTTCGGTGGTTTTATATTCCCTTGAGTTGGCAGCGACCATTATGACCCTGGCAGCTAAAATTGTCTTCTGATTTTGTGACTAATTCTTGCGTCAAAAATAACTCTGCTTTGATGAACAGATCCAAGCTTCAGCACAGTGACGCAGCGAGTCAGTCCTAGAACAAAATTCGTGAACATTTTAGTGCATTATATCTATCTGAATTGCGTTTGTAAATCTGTTATCTTTGTATATTGCATCGATCGATTTTCCCATTGTTATTTAAGTCCGTTATCGCCTTGCTTCTAGGTCTTATGCGTGTGTTTATTTTTAAACTTGCTTTTCTTATATTTTGTATTAGTTATTGCTATTGTTATTTAAACTATCTTGATTTCCAAATTTTCATGGGTGCATCACATCGATTGATTTCCCATTGTTATTTTAGTCCGTTATCGCCTTGCTTCTAGGTCTTATACGTGTGTTAGTTTTAAACTTTTGTCTTATATTTTGTTTTTTTAGATCGCTTTTGTATTCAAACCCAAATTTTCCTGATATGGGTTTAGGTTTTTTTAAACTTGATTTTCTTATATTTTGTATTGGTTAAGATTGCTTTTGTTATTCAAACCCAAATTTTCCTGATTTTATGGGTTTTAGGTTTTTTAAACTTGATTTTTTTATTTTCTGTATTGGTTAAGATTGCTATTGTTATTTAAACCCAAATGTTTCTGCTTTTATGGGTTTTAGGTCGCGTTAGTATACTTTTATTTTATAATTCAGTGGAGCATGATACTGAGAGGTATTTGACTAAAATTTAAATGAATCAAGAAATTAGTAAACTCGTAAGTGTGTAAGTGTGTGTAAGTAAACCATTGGTTGATGATGCTACTGCTATTTCAACCGAAAAGTATCTGCTTCCGTTGGTAGATTTTCATTTTACATTTTGCATCAGTTAATATTGCAACTGTTATTTAAACCGAAAATTGTCTGCCTCTGTTGCTATATATTTTTTTTCTCTTATACTCTGCACTGGTTGATACTGACACTCCCATCTGAAGCCAGTTTTCATTTATTATTCCTTCGCTCTCTCTCTCCCTATTCTCCTTGTCACTCACCTTCTTTCATTTTCTTCTCTTCCCCTTTCCCTTCATCTCCTCGTTTTTATTTTCCTTCTTACTCCATCTATTTTAAGGTCTTTTATTAACACGGTTTATGCCTCTCTCACGCCCCTCAGGTCATAGCAGTGCTGGGCTCCGGCGACTACGGGCGTGCTATCTCCCGCCGGCTGGTCAACTCGGGCTACCACGTTCTCATGGGCTCCAGGGACCCCGACAGGAGCCAGGTCAAGTAAGTGGTGCCCCTCTCTCTTTGTCTGTGTCTGTCTCTTTCTCTTCTCTCTTCTCTATCTGTTTCTGTTTTCTTTCTTTCTCTCTCTCTCTCTCGCTTTTCTCTTTTTTTTCTCTCTTTCTCTCTCTTTCTATTCTCTCTCTCTCTCTCTCTCTCTCTCTCTCTCTCTCTCTCTCTCTCTCTCTCTCTCTCTCTCTCTTCTCTCTCTCTCTCTCTCTCTCTCTCTCTCTCATCCCTTTCTCTTCTCTCTCTTTATCTTTTTCTTTCTTTCTCTCTTTTTCGAAGTTGGTTAAGGGGTCTTCGGAACTGTCTGAAAAGTCTCTGTAATATTCATTTTTGTGTTTCTCGATTATTGAAATCAGAATATGACTGTTCATATGTGCGTGTGCGTGCGTGTGTGTGTGTGTGTGTGTGTGTGTGTGTGTGTGTGTGTGTGTGTGTGTGTGTGTGTGTGTGTGTGTGTGTGTGGTGTGTGTGTGTGCGTCCCCGTGTGTTTGTGTGTATTAGTGTGCGTCCTCGTGTGTGTGCATTTCGTGCGTCCCCGTGCATGTGTGAGTGTTTGTGTTCATGTATGTGTGAGTGTATTAGTGTGCGTCCCCGTGTATGTGTGCGTCCCATTGTGAGCACGAGTATTTGTGTGCGTACTTCTTCGTGTATGTATGTGTGTGTGTGTGTCATCAATCTTCCACCGGTCCATTTATCGAGGGACCCAAAACCACACCATTGCCCCATTCTCGGCCCCATCCCTCTCCCATGGCGTGCCACCATGACTGCCGTTTCTGGACCACCATGACGCTGATCGAAAAGCCAATGTCATGCAGCGGAACCGAGTGCTGGACCAAAAAACCTCACGATTTCGTCTTTAACAAATAGATACATTCGAAGCAACATATTCTGAATTTTATATATAAAGAGCACGGTTTTAATGGCTTGTTTGCTATCACAAATAAACTGCGGACTGAAAGAGAGTTTGTAAATAAGACGAATAAAACATAAAATTGACTTCATATCGACCAAGAACCTCATGACTCGTCTGAAACAAATACATACTTTCTACGTATTAGTTTGTTTACTATTCTAGGATAATGAAACAAATATGACTTCATATCGACCAAGAACCTCATTTTCGTTTTAAACAAATACATACTTTCTACGTATTAGTTTGTTTACTATTAATAAAAATGGTGTGAAACAAATACATACTTTCTATCTATTAATTTTAGATATAAAGAACACGTATGATTGTTTACTATTAATAAAAATGCGGATTGAAAGAGAGTTTGTAAATAAGACGAATAAAACCCGTGGAATATGGCCTTTCGTACCCGTTAAAAAAAAGCCCGTGATATTTCCTGTTGAAATTCATCGGTTGGGAAAGCCAATGTTTGCTCAGTGAGTCTGCAGGTTTTTGTTACCTAGCGAAGGCTTGTTAAATGCTCTAATTTTCCCTTATTATTCCCGCGAACAGATAGAGAGTGTCATGCTCCTTCGCAAAGAGTGCAATATCCGAAATTGACTCATCCGAACGAAAGAGCATGGGAGGGAAAAAACCTAATAAAGAATTGGAGAAAGATAAATATGGAAAAAAACTAAAAAAAGAATTGGAGAAAAAGATAAATATGAAAATAGAACGATTGAGATTTTACTTGATAATAATTACATTTACGAAATACAAAAAGGATTCCACAGGAGATTCTTAACTTTAAAGAGCAATCTATATTCATACTAATAACGACATCCCTAAAAGAGATAATTAACAAATCGGGATATAAAAGGTCATTCTTTATTCAAACTTATTCAAACTCGTAAGTAAATTAATACAATAAAATAGTTCTCAGAAATAGTTAAACCCGAGAGATACATTCTATAATCACAACGACAATTTATTCTCTCAACTCTAACCGCACGGTACCAGAACGAACACCAGAATCACCTGTCGTGTCAGCCGAGGTCAAGGGTCAAGCTTTGACCACCTGCCCCGACATCAGCGAAAGGCTCAGGAAGGCGGGGTTACCGGGGTCAAAGGTCAAACTGACCCGACATCCACGAAGGCTCAGGAAGACGTCCGGGTCTGACCCCTGACATCAGCGAAGGGTTTAGGAAGACGTGTACCTGGTCACTTGACCACCTGCACTTGTCATCACCGGTGGGTCCCGAGTCCCTGTCGTGCAGTTGACATAATTTGCATACGGGGCGGTGGGAGAGGTGTGGGTGTCCATTAGGCTGGTTTTCCTGTGTTATTAATTCTCGTACGGGTTCAAGGGTGAGAGTGGGGTCTGGACTTCCTCTTTCCGCATGTGTATATATATATATATTTCCTATTTCTATTTGTGGCGGTACTGTTGTTGTTTTGTTATTATTATATTATTATATTTGTGGCGGTATTATTATTGTAGCTGTTGTTGTTGATTATTTTATTATTATTATTATTATTTTCAAGTATCATTTTATCATTATTATCAATTATTATTTTCATTATCATTATTATCATTATTATAAACATTATTATTATTATCATCATCATCATTGTTATTATTATATTTTCATTATTATTATTATCACCATTATAATTATTATCATTATCACTTGCTATTATTATTATTTGTTGTTGTTGTTGTCTACTGATTTGATTTTCCACTTCCTCCCTTTTCGTGTCTCTTTTACCTTTCATTCTTATCATTTCCGTTTCTCCCTTTTTTTCATCCCTATGTCATATTATCCTCTCTTTCCCTTTCTCCTTCCCCTTTCTTGTTCCTTTCGTATTATCTTTGCCTTTCCTTCTCCTTTTTCCCTTCTCTTATCGTTTATTTTATCTTTCCCTTCTCTTCTCTACTTCCCCCTTTTTATGCCTTTCATAATTCCTTTTCCTTCTCTATTTCTTACGTCACCTTATCTTCTCCATTCCTTTCTTCCTTCTTCCTTTCCCATGCTTTTACTTCCTGACCAAGGTGAGTGCGAATGAGAGAGAGAGAGAGAGAGAGAGAGAGAGAGAGAGAGAGAGAGAGAGAGAGAGAGAGAGAGAGAGAGAGGAGAGAGAGAGAGGAGAGAGGAAAAGAAGAGGAAGAGAAAGAGAAAGAGAAAGAGAAAGAGAAAGAGAAAGATAACGATAAAGAGAATAAGAGAAAGAGAGAAGAAACAAACAAATCGAATAAAAAACGGAGATATTAGAAAGGAAAATGGGAAACTGGGGGAGGAGAGTAACGGACAAACTTTTGAAAACTTTAAAACCGAATTTCTGAATTTTGTTAAATCCACCTGAAAAGCAGGTTTGTTTGGCTCAAGTGCTTTCTTCTTTCCGCCTTTTTGCGTGTACATAACTGTTTAGCAAGTTAGCAATGAAGTGGGCAATCAAGTTGATAATTTTCCTGCTAACCTTATTGCAAGTGTGTCAAGGAGACCGTGCCTTTGTTTATATAATATTTTTAGTCATTTTCAACTAAAATACGGGTTTGCTTCTTCTTTTTTTATTTTTTTAGATTAATTATTCTGGTGCTTATGATCTTTTTTTTTCAAAGTTAACCTGAAAAATTATTTCCGGTTACGTCAGCGACTTCAGCAACTGGCGGTAGTTTGGTGAAGGAGATAGGTCCGTTACTACTCCTCCAGGTCAGGTTCTCTTCCTTATCTTTTATTCTGTTTATTTTTATTTTTTTTTCTGTCTCTTCCTTTCTTCTCTCTCTCTCGATCTATCTATCTATCTGTATCTCTCTCTCTCAATTTCTCCTCCCCCTCCTTTCTCGTTCTCGTCGCTCTCTCTCGCTCTTTCTCTCTCTCTCTCTTCTCACTTTCTCTCTCTCTTTCTTCCTCTCTCTCTTCTCTCTCTTCTCTCTCTCTCTCTTCTCTTCTCTCTCTCTCCTCTCTCTCTCTGTCCCTCTCCTCTCTCTCATCTTCTTCTCTCCTTCTCTCTCTTCTCTCTCTCCTCTCTCTCTCCTTTCTCTCCTTCTCTCTCTCTCTCTCGCTCTCTCTCGCGCCTCATCCTCTCGCTTCTCTCTCTCTATCGATATATATATCAATCTATCTCTTTCTTCTTATTTTTTTCTATATCATTTTCCTTCCATGTTTCTTGTCCCCCTTCCATCTGTCCTTCTTTTTTTTTTTTTCTTCTTCCTTGATTTTTCTTTTTTATTCCTCATGCCCGTTTGCCAAGGCCTCTTTCTTATCTCTCCGTCTTTATCATATATTTGATTTTTCTTTATGATCAGTTTCTTATGGTCCATCTTTTTTTCCAATTTTCCCAAACCATTGATTCTTGTTTTTTATTCCCCTTATTCCTTTTCTTCATCAAGTTTTCTCTCCTCATTTCGCTTCGTCATCTGTATGTATTTGAGGATAATTTTTTTTCCCAATATCAAAGAAGTGAAAGAACTATGATAAATTTTTTTTTTATGTATCGAGAAGAAATGTAAATATATTTTATATGATATATATATTATATAATTATTATATTATATAATATATACACACACACACACAACACAGAACACACACACACACAGCCAACAACACACAACACACACACACACACAATATATATATATATATATATATATATATATATATATATATATATGTGTGTGTGTGTGTGTGTGTGTGTGTGTGTGGTGTGTGTGTGTGTGTGTGTGTGTGTGTGTGTGTATGTACACCTATGATAACAACAAGCAGTTTTTTTTTGGCATTAGCATAAATAGAGAAAAATATGATAACAACAGGTTATGATAATTTTTTTCCTGTAAAACTATTGGGGTAAGAATGATTCATGAGATATTTTGAGACAAATCATTCATGAGATATTTTAATGTCTCTCGTGACTTTTGAAGCTGGTATCATGGTCTCTCAAGAGATATAATGACATTAATTTGTTGGGATTAAAACAAAGAGAATATCGTCATATTTTTTTTAAAATAGATTTGTGTTTGTCTGAGTGCGTCTAGAGCGTGTGTGTGTGTGTGTGTGTAATGTGTATGTGTGAGTGCCTGTGGCGTACGTGCGTGTATGTGCGTGTGGGTGTGT